CTATTAATGAATTACTACTTGAGGAAAACACCATAGTGGTTGTAGAAAATATTTTTTGTGAATATAAAAATGAGTTAGTTACTTAATATTTTATCAAACCGTGGAAAAAATACAAAACTTTTTAATCTTATAAATATAATAAAAATAAATTGTTATCAACTATATTAGTACTATCAAACACGTAAAAGAAAAAATGCAATGCATATGAATGTGCTCTAATTCTTTCAAAAAAAAATTATTATTTGTGAATAAAATATTAAATAAATAAAACAATACAAATGCAATAGGAAAAAGAAAAGAAATGAATCTTCTTAGAAAAGTATGAATACCAATATGAAAGAAACAAATTTCTTTTAAAATTACTACTTATTTTGTTGATAGCATTTAATATTGTTCTCTATAAGAAATTGGTTCTCATTAACTGTGATTCCATATTATATAATACAAACTATAAACTTTAATAAGGACTTCATAATAATAAAGTTCACAGATAACTAAGAGTATCATAATATATAAGAATTCAAATTATTCTCATCTAAAATATTTTGACAAATGAAATGTTCTCAATATTATCTCATTTTTGTTTATTATTACATTGACAATCATGAAAGAATTTTTATCTTCATTTTTCGAAGCATTATGTATGATGTAAAAAGTTGGACAACAAATGCATTAAATAAGTAATTAGACATATAAATATTGCAAATCAGAATGAATGTGAAAGGTATTATGATAAATAACACTAAAATCAATGCAACAACCAAAATGTTTAATGATTTGCAAATAATAGGTTATGTAGTTCGTCTATCTTCCAAATAAATAACACTGAAACAGGAATGTTTGATTCTGATCAAAACCTTTTTGAATGTTTGAATAAGATGTCGAGTTTTTATAGGAATATTTACAATTTTAATTGTGTATTTGCTCGATCATATACACAATTACTTTAGAGCATGTACTTTCATGTAAGGTGTGATGATTTAAAAAAAAAAAATTTAGTTTCCCCGAAAAAATACATAATTTTGGAATGTTAACTTTTATTTGGAGGATGAAATTCGTTTCCACCCCAATGGGGTACGTACCAATTAATTTGT